AGCCAACGACATGGGCATATTTCATAGCATCAACAGTAATGTTACTGGTGATAAACTGCGCTTCTACCTGTGTAAACCAAAGTGCTGGGTGGTTCGGCCAATATGGTGATAATTTCAGGCTTACCGCTGATGTTGTTGCCATGGTTACAGTTGGTGCTACTACCTGTTGAGGTGCAGCAGGTGGTGCAATCAGTATATTTTTTACTGTTCATTGTTCATCGTGCAGCTTTTGCACCTTCAAAATCATATCATATATTATCATATCATATATTATCATATCATATATTATCGGAAGTGTTTCAAATATATCTTCCAATCTTTCCCCACCATAATGCAATGTTTAGTTAAATGCCTCAGGTCTACCAGGTAGTTGGTATTGTTTTGATTTCGTTTATAGAAGTGAAAACGCTCTGAAATTACTAGATGTTTTGGTGAAAAATGCTTATTGAGTAGTTCACATAACTCCTCATACGTTTTATTTTTGGGTATGTCGGGCGTGCACAGATCTTTTAATATGCTGTACGTCTTTGCGCTGATCACTGTCAGTAGCGTAGCAACACGTTTTTCAGGGTCGATGTCATTTGCATCAACAAAGGATTCTAGCCTCTCGGCGTAAGAGTTCCAATCCTCTGTATTATCGTAGGCTTCTAGATGTCTGATAGTCGGCATATTGATCTCCTAGTATACTTATAATTTTACCTTTATACTCGTCGCCAATTTGTAGTGTATGGTGAACTCAATAAAGTATGTATGAATGTAAACTTTCACGTGTATATGAACAACACAACTATACAGCAATCTACCATTTTCTAGAATCGTTTATTTTTTACTATAGGTGGCGCTGTACATAGAAATGTACAGTTAAGAATAGTTTATATGTGCGGTGTGGGTACTGTATTAAAACTGAAGATAACGATAATATATTACAATTTTCCATAACGACAACATCTGACCTATACATTTAGTATCTTCACGTTTATTAAGATGACATGAATGATGTTCTGCCCACGACGGTCACATTGTTTCAGATGTTTCATCCAACCATTTAAGTTCATCCTTAATGATAGCATCCATATTGTTATTTGAAGCAAAATATGGCTATCGGGAACGTTAGGCCTCAATAGTTTTTTGGTTGTTAGAAATGCTGGCGCAATATTGGTGTAAGAACTTGGAAGTTCCCTGTGTCTAGTTGAATCCTTTGTGATTGTAGGGTGCTCAATATACAGTAAGTATCTGGATTTTCTTCACTTATGGCAAGCAACACTAAAACCAGTTCCATTGAAATCTTCTGTTGCATTGTTAGCTTTTTATTGTTCGTTTAACCCTTTCACTGCTGTAGGTATATGCACCCCCTGTGCTGGGACTTATTTTAACGAAAAAAGTTAATTTTTAAAATAATTCCAAAAAAAATACTAAAAGAGGTTATTTCGAAATTCTTTTTGTGTTGGGGGCGAGCAATAGGTTGGCCTACGCGAGGAACATTGATATTTGGTATTTTGCATAATTAGGTAGTCATGTGACCTCAAAGTTGCCATTTTGAATTTCTGTTTTTTCTCAAATTTTAATAAAAAACTCAATTTTTCTCAATGAAATTTTTATGGAATGTTTTTTTTTTTACTTTATAATGATGCAGACACACAAGATGAATAAAAACAAAAACAAAAATGAGTTAGTTTGATCGTTTTATTCCAAAACCGCAAATAATCAAAGTTTTTCTTCAAAATTGTGAAAATATAAAATTTTGCAGAAAATCACTGTTAGATGTACTTTTTGCCATACGTTTTTATTTATGCTTTATATAATCCAGGTTATAAATATAAATGCATCGTTGCAAACATCATACGGTTACTTTATTTTAGAACTATAAAAATTAGCCTGTTCTATTGTGTGAAATGTGGAAAGGAAATCTGCGGACAAGGCATTGCCACCTTGACCCTGTGCAGGGCCTCCCAAGTTGAGAGAATCATCGTTTTCGTCCTTAGACTCACTGTCGTCACTATCATAGTCGACTGGGGGGAAAAGAAATGCAAGAATCATCCAATTCAAAGTTATCTTCACTATCCGTATCTGCAAAGATCTGGTCCATAGCTTCGTCGACATTGTACCGTCTGTTTTGAGGCCGTGCACCCGCCATTTTGCGCCTAACCACTCGAAAACACTTTTTTCCAATAAAAGGTTAATTATAGTTCATAGAAAAAAACTATAGAGGGCGCAGAACCTCTTCCTGATTTTTAACAATATTTTTTCTACATACCCGGTAGTACCGGGTACGCGCAATTCAACAATATGTGTTTATACCCGGTATTACCGGGTACACGCAGTGAAAGGGTTAAATTATCAAATTGACAGGTGGCAATCTTGTGGGATACACTGCACCAGTAATATCACATATATGTCGAATGTAGTTTTCTTCATTGTTGTAATTCTTGATACCATTTAACTTCATCAATTGACACAAGTCATGTACTACGGGGCCTCTAACATCATCTGCTAATAGCTAATAGCTAATTGCGAGTGGTGTATGGTCCACAAATTATCATATCCAGTAGAAGCAGTCCAAAGAGTTTGTAGATGTTTGGCGGCAGCTGTCATCATTGAATACACCTTGAAAATGAGGTTCGCTTTCAAAAAAATTATCTCGCCGACATATACTTCCAGTTTTTGCAAGAATAAGTATTTCATCATCTGGCTTCTGACTGGCTTTTGCTAGACTACCTTTCCGGAAACTCAAGTAGACATGTCCTTTATCATCAACTTCATCATATAAGCCACATGATTCTATAAGTTTATTCTTAAATCGGGTTCTATTAAGTTTCTTCTTTGAATTTATACTGTTGTTAGAATCAAGTTCAGCTACTCCGTCACAATACCTGTTATAAAATTGAGATAGCATGAAAACGGGTTCAACCATACTGTATTCTATTCAATGTCGTTTAAGGTTAATGCACTTTCCTCTGCATGTTTTGTTATCTGCTTAGTTGCAGCTTTTCCTGAGTTCTTATCTCCTTGAACTACTTCTCCTGGACATGAAGGGTTGGATTCTGGGTCACAGAAAAAAAATGTGGTTTTAGCTTTTTCGGTGAGTGAAGTGTCTAGTGATGATCTGGTCCTTTTTGATGGAACTGAATTCCCCGCTATTGCTTTTTGTTTATGCTTTAAACAAGATTGTAGATTTTTTTTTTTAACTGAAACATGGTACTTTGGATTATTATTTATAAATGTTGCCACAAAATCTTCTTCGTTGGTAAGTGCATTCAAGTTAAACTCTTCCATTCTTTTTGGCATAAAACCCGTATCATGAAATGAGGGAATGCAAACTCTTTGATCCATGTTTTGATGATGTGTTACTATTATATATGTTTTTGGTTCAGTTAATTGTTCGGGTGTTTCACTTCCACAGAAAAACACTTGGACTAGTCAACTTTGCATTCTTTGCATCCATCTGTATCATCAAGTGTTACAAACTCGACCTGTTTCTTTAAGACATTCATTAAGCCTGAGAAATGATGAGCCAGCTTGTGCTGTTGATAAAATATCATATAAATATCATATTTTTGGTTTATTTATGATCATAATCATCAATCATCATCATACTTATCACCACCACCACCACCATCATCATCATAATCATTACTATCATCATCATTATGGTCATCATGAACAACTACTTAATCTTTATTTATTTATTTTTATTACGGTATTTAAAAAAACATACAAAACGGTAGCAAGCAGCTAAAAATGTTTGTATTACAATTGATAAAAAAATATTAAAACGAATCTAATAATTTAAGTTATAATAAAATACATTGCACACTCAATTAGTTTAAAAAATACTTCAATTCATATTTATACCTATATATATACAAATTAAATTAAATAATAAGATTAATAGGAATAGGAATATATATATATACAAATTTAAATAAAGAAAAATGTGTTATATTGTATTACATAACTGTTGATTAATAATTTAATAATATTAAATTAAGAAATAATAATTAAACTACTATGACAGATAATTATGCTGATTGGATAAAAAATGTCCCTACACGTACAGGCCATATTTTTTTTCTGGAGTGCAGGCCTAGTCTCTGCATAGGCCTAGGCCTACTAACTCATTCTAACCTTCAAAACATAGCCTCTTCTGCTTAGGTACTGCAGCTTACATGCCTTTCTGGAGTGCTGAATAAAACTAGACAATATTCTATAACAGCCTTAAATTATATTTCCATATCAATCATGTATCTATTGCTCATTCCTTGTAGGCCTATTATTATTAGAATTGTAGTAAGATAACTTGTACTGTAACTTAATATACCACATGTAGTGAAGAGAAGAAATCACATGCTGTCTGTCTTCACAGTTGAAGGTTATTGCTTTGTAATTGGGCCAAAGTTTTATTTGTTGTTTATTTGTCTTGCTTGTGATTTTTGCCTTTATTTGAATTGTTTGACTTAAAATAACTGTATATTTTGGCTTAGAGTTATCCAAACATATTCCTTTGTTCAATAATAGACCAAATCAGGCAATATAAATTGATTCATGTTTATATTAAAATTACATTTGCATTTGTATAGAAAATATATGTTTAATGAAATATCTCAATTAGCATTCATTTTTAAGCACAAATTTGCATTAGAACAAATGTAAATATATGTCTTCTAAACATTTTGACACCAAAATCATCTGAATAGACCAAGGCATTGCTGAGATATGGCTGTTTTGTGCTTTTTCAAAGGAGTTATTAAAAATTGAGGTCGATGGTCACCAAGGTCTAATCAGATTTCCAATAATTTGGGTTTTGTACCCCCATATCATGTTCTATCACCATGGCGAAAAAGAAATTTGTATTCATTAAAATAAACATGTCAAGGACTAATATCAAACTTTATTATTCAGAAATATGACATTTCCATTTTTGCCCAATAAGATTTTAAAGAAATTCTCAGTAAGATTAGTTTTCATGGAAAAACTTGTATTAGAGCAAATATAAATGCATGTCTTCTGAACAATTTGACACCAAAATAATTTCTCTAGGACCAAGCATTGTAGAGATATGACCATTTAAAAGTTTTGACCAAAAACATGATTTTTAAGAAAAAACACAATAAGAATTGGGTTTTATGCGAAAAGTTGTATTAGAGTAAATATAAATGTGTGTGTTCTGAGCGATTTGGCACCACAATTATTTCAAAAGACTGAAGCATTACAGAGATATGGCAATTTTATGTTTTTCAATTAAAAAAAAGATAAAAATTGAGGTCAAAGGTCACAGAGGTCGAATAAGATTTCCAGTAACTTGGTTTTGGTATCCCCACATCATGCCCTATCACCATGCAAAAGGGCATGTATCCACTGCTGTAACAACCCATCAATAGCCTATTCTAAATCACTGCTCACTTTACTGTATATTTCACGTTTTTCTGAGGTTATTTTACTTGGCACATTATAATTATCTACACAACATCTCTAAACGTTAAATATGCTCTCATGGCTCTCAAGGATGCACTCTCTCATTTTTCCTTCGATTGACACAACTTTCGAAGAACTTCCATACCCATCTGCATTTTTCCTGGTATTTACAATCTAATACGGTACATAGTGCAATTTATAACACACATCCACCGCTTTAAAAAGAGATGGCTGCTGAATTACCTTATTTTCGATTATTATGAACTGGTCCGATGGATGTACTTTGCCTCCAAGTGCCAATATGAATGGTTGTCGGTGGGTTTCTGGATTTATGCTATCCACGTACGCTTGAACATTAATTATTTGCTGGAAATAAAAACAGGAAAACACAAATTTACATTTTGCCAAGTACAATTCTTGGGCCAAATAACAAAAAGTCCTTGTTTCCCATCTCCTCCCTCACCATTTTTTGAGCCCACTTAATTTTTTTTTTTTTTTTTGTTATTCTTAAAATTTTGGGGTTTTTTACATCCAAAATGCAAAATTTCAATTGCTGACATATTTTAAAGTTTAGAAATGCATTTAAACACAAAGACCATGATAACAGCAAGACAAGCAAAGACAAAACTAGTGACACATTTTTTACAACACATTTTGCTACTTAGAGAACATGCTTTGGCATATTTGACTTTAAATTAAGGATAATTTCTAACCTGTTGTAATGAAATGAGTTGAAAAATATAAATAAATAAAATAATTTTCTGCATAATAACAAGTCTCAAAACAAAGCAATGTAATCATGAATCATAACCATGTTCAGAATGTCCTTTCAATAAAATGTCAGATTTTATTTTAACTGTAGTCAAAGACACTAAGTCTGTGCTATCTGACAAGTCAAGCATTTCCTTCCAAAATGAGCACATCCTGATTCCATACTCACAAATTCATACATTCGATCAGCAGCTTCAGGATATGAAGATCTAAAGTCCTGGTCAATCTATGGATGTGAAAATGTAAGAGAATCAAAATGATGTAATTTCATATTATTAGGCCTATCATACTTATTGTGGTAACACAAATGTCTTCCAAATTTACCACTTAAAATTAAATATTTTCTACTTTCTATTCTAACACATTTCCAAATTAAGCCTATTATTCAATGTTAAAAGAAATATTTAATCGGACAATGACTCCTCATCGCCCTTTGCATTGGAGAGGCTTTTTCATAATACCAATTGTTGTAGGTACAGTAGCTAGTGTGTTAAAACATGCCATGAATTTTGTTATACTGTAGTATCTTTGATACTGATCATACTAAAATCTTTTAGAATTAAAACTGAATCCAAGGCATACATTTTTTCTATAAATCAATTTAGAATCTAAATTAAAAATCTAGTTGATGTAATAAATACACTCCGATAGCACTAAGGGTTATTTAAAGAGCGAAATCTTCCTTACCATATCGTTATCCAGAAGTCTTGGGAATTCTTTTAGTATATCTGAAACGGATCGCTGTTTATCCTTTATCCATTCTATTCGGTAGTTGAAAGTGGTCGTCATGAACTGCTGTACCTGATTTTTCGGTTCTAAGTTATCTTTCAACCATTGTACCTTCATATTAATATCGTCTGTAACTTCAACACTTTCAACTGCCAGTGACGGCTTAGGATCATTTGCTGCAGGAAAATAAAACATTGCTGCATAATTTACTTCAAATACTACAATTTTGAAAACACTAATAACAGCCAAAATCATTGTTATCCCTCCTCTTTGATCATTCCACAGCATTTCTTGCTACTGTAAACTCTCTAAACAACTTTATTCACCTTACTTAAACTCAATTTTTGAATTTCCAACCATGAGACTCATTTTGTGGCGAGACCTCACATTTTTGTTTGAAGCATCATATTGTAAACTATTAAATGTGGATAATGGAATATTTTGAAGCCTTTTTTCTCTTATTTATATCATAGGCCTATTTTGACATAAAGCATAGGTCAGGGTGCTTGGCCTAGAGCGGCCACACCTTGGGGCCTGTGAGGAGAAATAGTCCTATGGCCTACCTGCCTCACATGTGCATCCGGCCTATGCCAGCCGTAGATAGGGGAAGTATACTGGAGGGCACATTAGGCACAATACTCAAATAAGAATACTAAAAGAGGTTAATTGCTTGGGAAAGATATAATTATAAACTTTAGTTCTTACCATTAAACGTTTCTTTTAACGATTCAAAGCCCCATTCTTCGAGCAAAGCGTCCATTGTTGGTTCCGATCGACACGCCGTGTCTGTGTGATACCTTGCCAGTTGGTTGGAAGTTTTCTGTCATGTGGTCCAAACTCTACCCACTTTTTGAGCTATTGCAGTGCATGCATCATTTTTACCCAATTTTGGACGATTGCATATCAACTTGAGGTAATAACCATTAAATGGGTATATTTCTCCTAACGACAAGCATTGTGCCAGTGTTGGTCACATTGATTATTTGCCCAACTACTATTTTTATCGACATATTGGGTGAAAATTTACCAATAAAAGGATGATCTCATTTTACTCTGTCAATTTTTCCCGGCATTTTTTACAGTGTAGGCAAACAAATGTTAATTGAATATATTTTGATTTCTTTTTACTCGTTGACTCGTCAAGTCTAAAAAATACCTGTGTTCTTCTTTGATCTGTTAGTAACAAATAATGTGTGTCATTAGCACACTCATGCCTATGATGGTGATAATAATAATAATAATAATAGTAATGATAACAAAAAGCCGAGGCTAGTTGGTCTCGTGTTAATCTAGGCGACTTGAGGTAGACTTTCTTCATAAAGGCTTATACGAATAGATGTCTTGTTGTGAAGCAGGAAATCAATTTGCCCCTCCCAGTACCGCCTGATCGACGGAAAATTTTACCAATACCTAGATTTTGTTTATATTGGGAAAAGGCTCTTATTTAAACGGGGCGCAATACGAAAATGTTCTAATTTGGATGGGTGCTTATTCAGACCGGATGCTTTTCTATATCATTATATTTTTGGCAATTTTGACGATTTGTTTTGGTCCAGGTGAGCATAAGCAGCACACCTAAATGTGGCCAATTTCATCATTCTTCAAATAAATTGACTTCCGTTAGTACCACATTATCGTATGATAAAAGGCTTAATAACAAAATGGATTAAAATAAAATACAATATATCTGAAATAGCTGTCGCCGCCTGCCTGCAACGGCTTCTGAAAAGAGACTGACGTCCTAGACAATACACCCCTAGTGCCTCCAAGGCAATGGGACTTAACAAAGCAATTGAATCCTTTGTATCCTGTTGGCAATAATTATTTTGTACATGTTTATTTAAGAGTTAGTTTAGTGTTTTTTAAGTAGTTGGTGGTTAAGTAGGATCATACTTTTGAGGGTTTTGGGTGGGTGGGGTTTTGGGGTGAGGCAACCCTACCCTACCCTGGGGCATTTGCATGCGAATTTTATAATTTCTAGACGCCAAAAAATAAATTTTGGAGGTGTTTTGAGCGATCAATTATTTATTTTTCTTTCCTTCTTTCTTTATTATTACTTTTTTAAACTTTCCAAAAGGGGAGCCGTGGCCGGCCTGGGCTCACTCTAAATCCGTCCCTGGGATGGAGTTTTGACGGAGGGACGGGGTTATGCAGGACATGTGAATTTGTACGCGCTCTTTAGTAGCGCGCTGGCATAAATTGATAAAACTGCTCTAAAAAAAAAACCTGAAAACACCCTTTTTTACAGTCTTTTCTACCATAACTTTGGAACTGCTCATCAGATCAATTTCCTCCTTTTTTTTTATATAAAAGATCTATTTTTCATCTTTCTAATGAGATGAAATAACCGAATTACCAACTGATTGGTTGGGTGGTGGTTGGATATTAAGAACATATTTTGGGAGATTAATTTCGTAGAAAGCTATTTGCGGTAAGCCGTGATATGCTCTGTACTGGGTGCTCTTGTTTGTTATTGTAATTGAACTAAGAATGAGTTATAGTCATTGTAACAGTAATTTGTTGTTCCACATTTATAGTGGAATTAAGGGACGTTTATTTGAGTATACACTATTTTTGCGTGTCTATTTTGAAACTAGGGTTATCCATCCTTGTTGTTTGCAAATTTCCTTTTTTTTTCTTCAGACATATTATTTTGAGTACCTCTAAGACCAAAAACACTGCAGTTTTTATGCCCCTATTTTTCGTTTTGGAATTTCTTTTAGCCTAGAATAACTCACTAATAACAAGAACATCGGCATAGCTTCCAACTGTCCCGCTTTCGGAGGGATTGTCCCGATTTTTAGAGTCCTTTCCCGTCCCGCCTAAACCCCGAATTGTCTCGCTTTTCAACTTTTATATATAAAAAATAATCACAATAGTACCAGGACTAAACTCACGACGGATACTCTGACAGACGACGAGCCGTGTTAATATAGTGATTAATAGCGATACGAAAGATATATTTATTAGTTTAAATAATTCATGTGTTTGTTTATTTTATGTTTTTTTTTTCTTATTGTTATTATACTTGGTTGATATTGTATACAAATATGTAAATATATATATGTATATATAATATATATAATACAGACGCCAAAAAATAAATTTTGGAGGTGTTTTGAGCGATCAATTATTTATTTTTCTTTCCTTCTTTCTTTATTATTACTTTTTTAAACTTTCCAAAAGGGAGCTGTGGCAATAACCATTTAAACCAACTGACCAATCTCAATCACAGTAATCCGAATTATATCATCTGAAAACTTACAGTATTTAAAAACATTATTTTCAAGTCAAGACGAAAGATTTGGTCGTAGAGTAAAACACTTTAGGTTTTAAGACTAATTACTTGAAATTGAGGTTCTTGTTTTCCGATTGTTGAATCTAAAAACTTCTCAAGGTAACCACCCGCCCGAGGTCTTGCTTCGAGAGACTCGATGCTCAACAGGCACCTGATCAACTGAGCTTTTGCCATTGGTAGAATTAAGTCATTTCGCTGTAGTGTCAAGCTCAGTTGCTCTATTTCTGTGAACATATCAGCCAGAAAATGACTGAATGCAGCAAACATAATGGTTTCTATTTCTTTTTTTATCTATAAAGAAGGATATGGATTATTAAGTCAGCATTCTAACTCATACACATCACGCACATGCCGACACTTTATGTTGCACCACATATTTTTACACTGGCCCTATGATATCGTTCAACCTGTAAACTGACACCTGGTTCGGAATTTAGATTGTCAATAATAAAACATAACAATTCCTTTCTTCAGCTATGAACAACCCTTCCAAAAACCTAATGAGTTATCTTGTTTACAATGCATTAAAATGAGGAAATCTTTAATAACCAGAAGTAATAAATCCCGCACCTTTCTTGCCCTTCCTTGAATATCTGCCGAGTTATGTGTAGCAGCAAGTGCTCCATGTGAATGTGAATTGCCCCATACTGGCCAGCATTTGTGGGATCTTCTGGGCTTCTGATAAATGCTATGAGTGCTCGTGTCACATGCGCAATCAATCTTGTTCTTTCACATTACCTGGATTAACCACAGTAATCCCTAGCTCTTTTCCGATATTTTTCAACTCCCTTCTCGACTTAGGGCTGAAATGGTTCGTTATCCACACTAAATATAGCAAGTCATAAACTTTGGTTACTATCGGCTGTTTTCTTAGTCCGGAAAGTAATGCCAACTCCAGTCTTATGAAAGAAAAGGAGATATAAATATTGGAATTTCTATAAATTACACCTTATTTATTATTTTTTTTTAAGCGAGCAGACACCCGGCTGGGGGCGGCGACCTTTAAGTATAAGAAAAGGAAACTGTGTAAAGACATCGAGGCCTTTATAGGCCCTACGTAATACATTTTATACTTTATTTTTAAGAGTATAATGTAAACTAATACCTGTGAGGCATGCAATGAATTGGTAAAACATGCTCCCCGGAACTCTCTTTGAGGTGAGTAATTACTCCACCATGATTTCCAAGATTGACATTGGCCCCATCTGCTCCAAAACCAACAAGTTTTGAAAGCCAATTTTCACATTTCAAATTAGAAAACACATTCTTGACTGCAGAAAACACTCCTTGAAAAATATAAAGGATACTGTGAAACAAGGAGACACCTGTTGGCCAAATATACATAACTGTTACTGAACTATGGCTATTACCGGAGGACGCCACTCCCTAACTATGATTTACCGTGTTTGAAGAATAGTATAACATGAAATAAACACAAAGGCTTCATGATAATAACATTTTTCAGCTTAGACATTTTTATATTATAAATATTATGTAAGAACAAATTTACCGGCTGTATTAGCATGTTCCAGTTCTACTTGGCCAACCAAACGATTTACCGGCAAACCATTCTCGACGAGTCTTACGTAAACGATCTCGCACTCCTTTACCGAAATATCAGTAGGGACTTTTCGATTGTGTGGACGTGGACCTGGTTCACGTCGACTAGTCATGCGTGTCAACGTAGTCAACTATACCTGTTGACTACAAATGAAAACCTTTTAGATTTCAGTTGACATGTAGCGCGCGCTAGGCAACCTTATTAAGCAGCTGTGTCATGGCGAACCTTCATCGACTTCGCGAAATTGTCGTCTTTGCATATTCTACAGTTGTCTTGGACGATGAGGAATTCATGTTTTTATACAATACAAATAAACCCAAAAGTGCCGAATTCAGGCACCGAGATTATCAGAAATTTGATCTAGACAAGTACAACAATGAGGAATGTAATGCATACTTCAGGGCGCATCCGGTGCGTCAACTGCGATGATGCAGATAGTTAACAGGCCTCCCCGGCTGGCCGCGCTCGCTGCAGTGCACGTTTGCATTGCATGCACACTGGCGTAAGCACGCTCATGAACTTCCACAGCCTTTCTTGTGTTTACAAAGGCAGTAGAAATTACATAACTGCCTGTGCATTAAAAAGCAAATAATACAGATTAATTCAACACAAGTTAGAAACTTCCCCCAGACTCTGTCTCTGCCTCAGTTGGACGAACTAGTGAAGGCAGCGTTGCCACTATATTTTCATCTTCCATCTTTAAACTTCACAAGCGAGCACGGCGTCCTAGATTTAGGACGACGGGAAAAACGAGGTGAACACGTTCTCGATTTTGGTAGTGGAGGAGGGAGACGACGTAACGCATGCGCAGTGCCTTAAAATGACCTCATCACGTAGCAGTCCACTATGTCGACGTGCAAATCTAAAAGTCCCTATTGTCACCATCAATCAAAATGCTGATGTATCGTTGTTTATCAATTTCTGTGGCAAGCTGTTCTTTCATATCATCGGCGATAGCTCCAATTAACTGTGCGCACATATTATTGTTTGCATAAGTTGGTGTAATTTCTGCTCCATTTTTGTAATGGAGAGTAACAAGCGGTCCAAATTTAGTAAAGGGCAATTCCTCTTTTGCAATAAAATATGCAATGTTAACCTTCTTTTTTACTTCTTGTACCATAGCACTTTGGCCATGTAGAAAAGCACGCTTTAATTGCGATGGTCGTTTCCCTTGCTGACGTAACCAGATGTCCCGATTACGTTTATGCGTTTTAGATCGTGAGTGTAGAGTTAACGTTTCACGTTTAAATCTACCAGTAATCCTTACGGCAAGACTGTTTTTTCTGTTCCTTTCGAATGACCAACTTTCTTGCAATAGGCGCACCACATCATGTTGCTTGTTTTGGAATATCTTAGAAATGAGAATTCCTTCAGCCACTTGATTTGGAATTGGTACTTTTTGCCCATCTTTGTTTTCCCCTTTTTAGTTAGACCCTGCTCCTTGTCTATCGCTTCCTCTTCTTCTATCTTCTCCTCCTCCACTAGGCATATCTCATCTGTTTCTACATCATCTACTGCTTGGCCTACATCTCCTACTACTTCCTCTTCTTCCGAATCAACTTTCTCTTGATGTTCTATCAATTCGTGTTCGTCAGAAGATGAAATGGACACCAGGGAAGCACATTCTGAAGAATCATCAGAGTCGTTAATAGGTGTAGCCGCAGACTTTGGCTTAAAAAAGTCAGATATTTTTTTGCTCATCTTTCTACTCAGTCTTAATTCTGTAAACAGCAATGGGATTATGAACTACGATGGATGGACATGACAATTCAAGATTAAAAGTTGGGAATTCCAATGGAATTCTCATATTATTCCAGTGGCGTTTTCATCTTTTGGACATTCTAATGTAATTTTTCATCTCGTAGAAATTCCATTGGAATTTCCATGTCGTGGCAGAGGTAACACGAGCGCGCTGCGTGCACCATCGTTCCTCTAATCACATTGCTGGGTAATGATTATTATTATTATTATTATTATTATTATTATTATTATTATTATTATTTATTGTTATTATTATTATTATTATTATTATTATTGTTGTTGTTGTTGTTTTGTATAATCTATTGACATGTATTATAATTATAGATGTTATTATTACTACTTCTACTACTAATGACCACATGCAGCATAGGCTTATTTAAAATACCGCTTGGTTGTAAATGTATTGTTGTTGTCAAGGGGATTTCTCACTCGTTGCTGCACTGTTCATGCCTCATTGACTCTGGTACAATGAATTGGATCATAGAGCAAAGTGGACGTTTCTGGCGTACGATCCGTTCTTTTCTTCAATGCTACTCCGTGGTAATACTAGCAGTATGTTTAATATATCATTCATGCTACAAGTTACATAAAACAAATTGTTTATCATCATGCTGAAATCGATTTAAATTTATTTGAATCAATACATCAGTAGCCTATATTGTAAGTTGTAACCAGGGAGTTATAACGACCCTGTTGTAAATACAGTAATAACAAAATGAAATACTGGAGCTCGTCCCGGCAGTGCTGGAAAAATATGTCATTTTTTTATATGGGGATCAAACATCCTAGCTATGACAAAAATAACATAAATACGACTCAATCAATCTATATTTTGTGTTTTTATTGTTTCATCGTATAATAATTATTCTTTTCATTTTTTAAAAAGAATTATTGTCTTGAATGTTCAACCAGTGTTTTAATGAAGACTAAAGTTCGGGTGAATGCCATATGATCGTATTTGCATCGTATAATTATTGGCAAATCAACCGCAGTTAAACCACGATCAACCACGATTCACGCTACCATGAACCACAGGCACAACAACACATTACTCCGTCATACTTCAACAGTAGAGCTCTTTGTGATTGGTTGACACAATACTCAACCTACCAATCACAGCAACGTAAATGCAATCACCAAACAACTCTGTGACTGTACTCAGTAGCTTGCTTTGCATGCATGAATGGGTTTCCAAGATGTGGGCATGAATGCAAGACAGTATTGCGGCGTACTATTGAAGGTTTCACTCCAAAAATTGGGAGGAAAAATTGTTTTTACACGGATTAAAAACTAGTCGCGCAAGCAAATGACCTTGTCACACTTCGCGCGACTAATAAAAATTCCCTGTCGCATTTACGAAAATCAGGTTGCAAATGCGACCAAATTACGCTTAATTTCAAGCCCTGGATAAGCTGCAGAACGGCAAGCCCTGTCCCATGTTGAATATCTGTCAAACCTTTTGAGTAAGTCAAAGTTTTCTATTACATTTACAGCCATGGTGCTGCAAATAGGCACTCACTCTTGCGTAAACCACGGCTGCGGTTAGTTCTAAACGAGGTGTGGTAATTCGTCTATTTAGTGGCATCACTCCAGCTTTGCCGGTCACAAATGAAACATTCACACCACCATCTCGGTATAATACTCGTAAATAGAAACACTGGCCATATCCGGCTTCCGACACATCCGAGAAATGATGAAGTTCTAGGGAAGCTACATTTGTACTATCAGGCTTGATACATCTATTTATCTGCAGTACTTCAAGTTTGTTGAGGTCGTTCCTCCACTTAGTCCATATTTAACCTTGAGATCATCTGGAACCGGGTCATCCCATCAGATTCCTTCTTTGCAGAGCCCTTGCAAAATTGATTTTCCAGTTAACATTACCGGTGCCAAGAAACCTAAAGGGTCATACACTGAACACACCATTGCTAGGATCCCTCTTCTGCTAACACTATGCTCATCCAAATCCATCTTGAAGTAAAAGGAGTCAGTTTCTACACACCAAAGTACTCCTAAAACTCGTTCTGTGGGTAGTTTGTCCCCTGGTTTTAACTGTTGAACTTCCTTTGCCCTCAGTTCTGCGGAAATTGATGAGATGACTTCCCTGTTATTGGATACCCATTTGTGAAGTAACAATCCTGCCTTATTACAAAACTTCACAGCAGAATCAACGAGCTTGATTGTCTCTTCCACAGTTGCCCGTGATGTTGGACCGTCATCCACGTAGAAATCTTTTCTGACATAATCCTGTGCTTCAGAACCGAACTCCTCGCCATCATCTGATGCACGCTTCATACCAAAATTTGCCACTCCGAGCGAACTCGTGGCTCAAACACATGTACCTTGGCTCTGTATTCAATCAATTTTTTCTCGGGATCACTACTTTCCCACCACAGAAAACGTAACAAGTCCCTATGCTCAGGTGCCACGTAAAATTGATTAAACATTCCTTTAATGTCACCTAATACAGCTACTGCCTCTTTTCTGAATCGAATCAGGAATCCAACTAAACCATTTGATAAATCAGGTCCTTGCATTAGGTGATCATTCAAGCAGGTACCATGGAAGGGTGCACTACAATCAAACACCACCCTTATCTTATTCTTCTTTGCATGATAAACGCCTGTATGTGGGAGATATTTGATCATACCGTGACGGAGATTAATTTCATTGCCTGGTACGGGTTCCGCATACTCCTTCAACATTCCTTCCTTAATCTTTGTTTTTATCAAATTTCTTCTTTACGGACTGTAGTCTTTTTTCTGTGAGGCATCTGTTGTTAGGAAGGGTCTTCACGTTGTTACGCAAGGGGAGTGGCATCTCGTAGTGTCCGTTGCTGATTACAGTCTCACAAGATCTTAATGAATTGTTGATCTTCCACAGATCGTCCTTGAGCCTCACTATTATACTCTGCAAAATCTAGGTGAAACATTGATTGAATGGTACCTATAGTTTCCTTTGCACTTGAGGCAGTATAGAAGCTTGTGGAATTTTCAACATCCTTATTTTTACAAACTGTTCCAATAATGCCCCATCCTAGTGATGTTTGTTGAGCATATGGCTCATCTTCACCTCCTGCTATGACATCTCTGGGTCGCACTGCTCTTGGTACATCATTCCCAACAAGAATAGCTACGGGAGCACCCTGCTGCAGAGCAGGAGTTTAAGATGATATCTTAGTAAGGTGTGGCCACTGAAGTGCCGTCATTGGAGTAGGGATCTGAGATCTTCTTGCCGGTATGCATTCCCTGCTAAATAGAACTGGTATCTTCATTTCTGTTTTTCTGTCGAAACTGGTTATGCGTAAATCTACAAATCGTTTGCAATCTATCTCAGTCGCTCCATGCATGGTTGAAAGTTTCATCTTTGTTGCTTGTCCTTTCAAATTCAAGTTTGCTGCTGCGTCATCACTTATGAAGCTTGTGTTGCTTTGAGGGTCTAGAATGCAATAGACCAACATCTCAGTGTTGGGATCTGAAGATGATGGCATCCAAACCGGAACAATCATTGAATTTTCATTACATCTGGTACTGCTACCACAGATGGTTGTACATTTCGAATCTGCAGTATCTTTCTCTTTGTTCATGGTATTCTTCTTTTCGAAATGAAGACAAGTCATATGGTTTTTTCCATTACAAGTTCTACAAGGCTTCTTAGACGAGCAATTGGTTATTAGATGTTCATACAAACCGCACCCAAAGCACAAATGTTTTTCCCTGAACAGGGCCTTTCTCTTATGCCTAGGAATTTTCATAAATAGTGTGCAAATATCGATCTCGTGGTCGGCATTGCAGTAAGCACAGGCCTTTGGCTTTTCACTAGTTTCTTTGGTTTGCTCTCAGCAGGCTTTGGATCGGGCATGAATATAGGGTTTGTCGCTATTTCTGCCTTTTTCTTTACGAATGCTGCAAAGCACTCAAAGTTTGGAAAGTCGTTGAATCTTTGACATTCGGCTTTCCATTTGTCCTGTAGTCCATAAGGTAGCTTCTGCCATAACTTTCTGTTTTCTTCTGCAAAGTCTAAGATGTCGAGTTCCTTTATCGTTTTCTTTGCAACGACAGCTTCGTTAAGGGCAACTGAGAATCTTCTCAGTGCGAGTGGGTCTCTGCCACAATCTGGGAACGACTTTAAACTTTGTCTATAAGCATTAGCAATTGTGGACTTGTTACCATACCTTAAGGTTAACTCACTTTTAGCCTCATTATATGCCTCTTTAGTCTGGAGTAAAACTTAAAGGTACCCTTTCACAAGGTCTTTTGGTTCTCCTGCCAAATGATTCACCAAGTGATTCAACTTTTCTTCTGGCGTGACAGTTTTTGCTTCAATTAATTTATTAAAGGAACTGAGCCAGGAAGGAAATTCTATGGGATTTTCCGAAAATGTTCCTACTTTAATCTCAGGTAATCTCATAGAGTTAATAAGTAGCTGTAATCCGTCATTATATGTTGTATTATCTCTTACAGCTGGTTTGTTTGGCATGCTGCCACGACAGCATTGTCTACAACAGCGGGTTCATCCGGTAAATTAGCTGCAACAGCATTGTCTATGACAGGTTTTACAGCCGGTTCATCTGACATGTTAGCCACGACAGCATTGTCCGCAACAGCGGGTTCATCGGGTAAATTAGCTGCAACAGCATTGTCTATGACAGGTTTTACAGCCGGTTCGTCTGGCGCTGCCTCTCTATGATCTAGATTGAGAACATATGTTGCTGTTTTAACTTGAAGGTCTTCGGACGGTAGGCCAGGTATCCTTTCATTTTCTATTAGCTCATTTTCTAACTCATTCCACACTGACCATCTTGCCTCCTAGTATTTCTTCTTCAAGCATCTATTTTTACTTTTCTAGCCGCACCCTCTCTTGGGCAACCTGCCTCTTGGCCTTAGCTATCGCCAAGTCAGCTCTGGCTTGGGCAGCATTTAATTCAACCTCTGGTAATCTAGTTCTACTACTTCCTGTCCTTGTACTTCCAAGCCTTTCGGACGCCATAGTTTAGAAGATAATCCGTTACTACTATTTTACCACTGAGATAAGTTTTCACTGTAGTTGGGGGTCGCACAACTCAACAAATGGTCTCAACGCTTTCTATGTTCTAAAGTGTTTATTCAACAATACTTGATAGATGAAGAAAGGTGAAAACTTATTTGCATCTCCAAGGTTCAACCCGAAGCTAAGCTTTATCCATCAATTTGAAACATAAACTTATCGAATTATCTGAGTCTGAGATTAAAGAGGAGAAAAACTGGCGAGACATCCATGCTCCACAGCAATTTCTGCGTTCGTGACATTGCCAGGAAATGTCAAAATGTATCCCAATCTTAAGGTAACGCGGTTGCCGTTACAGTACAAGCAACATGAATGTTAACGTAAGTACCATATTCTTATGCATCTCAAATTAATTTTCATAGTTCAAGATACAACAGCATGATGAACATATCTGCAAATTGTACAGAGGCCCTACAGTTTTACTGTATCAAAGCTAAACCGTATTTTACAACAAAGGTACATTCATTGTTTAAATGTACAGTAAACAACAATAACTGATAATAAAAAAAAAAAGGTAAAGTAATGTTTACTGTAATCATAAATAAAAAGTAAAATGTCATGCTATTATTTTTTTAAGCTGTTGGATGTACGAATAACAATAATGAATAATAAAGAGTTTAAAGCTGCATTCTGTCCAATAAATAAAAACATTTCTCAGAAATGATTAAATTTAGTAAAATTACCCGATTAGTGGTATGCTTATAAATCTTGCATGGTAAAAATTACAATATGTTCATTTTTTGTAAATTGGGCGGAATGCAGTTTTAAGGTATTCATTTTTCTTTGTACACAATGCTGTCACCAAGATTAACAAGAGCAGCACACACAGTTATTATTTTATTCATTGTAATTGGTATGGGGCCACTAAGAATTGTAAACCGATTTTTTATAAAACCAATTACCCGTTCAATGTGGATTCTTATTGATGCAATTTGGCGTGTGACTTCAACTTCCCTAGCTGGCAGTTGTTTTCTGCCCTTAGTGAAACTTGGAATTAAAAGTTCTACACCACATTTAGTAGCAAATTCATCAGCTAAAGTAAAACCCCCATCAGCTAATATTTGATCACCATAATGATGGAATTTACTATCAAGAAAACGTATTTTCTTACAATTTCCCCATCTGATACTCTACCGCCCCATACATTTGATAAAAATGAAATTGAACCATGGGGAGTACATGCAATACGAAATTTAATTGTGGAATGTTTTTTGTAATTGGAGTAAACTTGGAAACGGGCTTTCAAATGTGTAGGTCTTTCAATAAAAATCTCAGAACAGTCGATAATTCCAGTTAATCTAGGGAAATACTGCCTGAAAACATGTGGAAGAGTTTTTATACTAGCATCATGGTCTGGCCAATGTATCAAAAAGGATAATTTTATAAAAAGTAAATCAATCCACTTCCAAAATATTGCATGGACTGTAGACTTAATTGATCCAAACTGATCTGCCAAATTCTCAAATTGCACATTAAGTCTAAGTTTGGTAAGGGTCATAAAAAATCGGTCTTTGAAAGGCATAGCAAATTTTTGATTAGTTGGGAGTGATTGTTCTAGATTATTAAATTCTTTATCAAATACTCCTCTTTCAATGCCTGTATAATATTTAAATTTTGATTTGTTATCTTTGAATTTTTCATAACATAAAATCTTGGTTATTTTAAATTTTTCAGTGGCATCATTTCTTTCTTTCCGAAGACTATTAATTTCCTTTACATAATCAAACTCAAAGCCTAATGAGCAAGTTTGAGTCTGCACTTCAGTGGTAGTGGTTGTGGTTGGTGACTGCCTCCTGATGCCTCTTGTAGCTATGTTGCTAGTAGATAGCACTGCTTCACAAGGCACATTCATATCCAACCCAAGTTTTTGCTGTTTTTTCTTCTTGTTCTCTTTAACTGCCAATTTTTTTCCTTAGTTCGTTTAACCTTTGCCTGTTCTCTTTCTTTAGCAGAATTGTATCTTGCTATTTTATGTCTGTAAATCTCTTCATTTGTTGGGTTGAACTTAAAAATACTTGGGACACTATCTGGGTGATCTTGCTCAACCAGTCGTTTCATTGCTTTATCTGAAACAAAATTATAAGTGTAATAAATGTAGGTTGAAAAAGTTAAGTAAACTTTAAAATTAAAACAATGAACAAATGTGTGAGTGAATGAATGTTAATATAATCTCTTCTGTTTGAATTTCCTGTAAAATAAAAAGTAATGTAACAATACACAAACTTCCTTGACGCATGGTTTTCTTCGATTGATCGGCTAGGCCTAGCTAGGCCCTAAGTACAGTAGAGTACTCTAGACTACTACCGTAATAATTAATAAATGGATTGGAGCAAATGTTATTTCTATTCTAGCCGCTAGCCTACAGGCTATGTTAGTAGGCTATAGCCTAGACCTATGATGAAACACATAGAAACAAATCGGTTGACTCACCGGTAATAAAATATTTGGTGCACAAATAAACGTTCCTGCCTGTCGGGTTCCACCTCGAGCCATCAGCATTTTTTCGTCTGCATGCAGCAATCCATTTCTGTCTCAATACGGCATTGTTGTTGGGAAACCTAAAAAATCTTTGTTTATTTTTCATTCATGAGTTATTCGTACATCCAACAGCTTCGCAATATAAAGGCATGACGGAAATACAAGAAAGACCTTTCTAAAATACAAGAAAAACCAGTAGTACAGTAACCCTATCGTGTCAAACACGTTGTAAAGAATAGCAGTGTGCGTTCATACCGCGGGAATTTGTCCTGCAGTTGTCTTGCGCGTACTTAAAATTCTAATACACGGGGGTCAAGTCGGATCGGAGAATAGTAATAAGGCCTTGGCCTAGGGCGGCAGGCCCAGACCTCCTATATCTATACTACACTGTACTACTACTGAATACCCCTGGGCCTACTACTACGCCTAGTAGCTGGGCCTATACCTAGGCTTTTAAGTAAGAAGGCATCTAGGGCTAGAACTAACTAGCCTAGGATAGGAAGGGGAGGGGAGGGCCTACCTTCAAAGCCGAAGTCTTATTAACTGAGTACTTGACACACAAAAGTTTAGTTGTGGTCTCTAATTCATATCGTTTTATTAAATCCAATGCTGCTTCCACTGATTCGACATACAGTAGCCCAAATACTTGTTTTTTGAGCTTGAAATTTAATAATAATAATATGTCGTTCTTATATAGCGCTTAATGCCTTAACAAAGCCTCTAAGCGCTTCACATTATTACCCCGGTCATTGGATCAAACACATATGGATCACATTGAAACACTAAACGAAATTAAATTGTGTCCTCAAACAAAACACTTCATAACAACAAAATAATTATTGATCCCAACCAGGTTAGAACAATGTAATTAA